AAATGGACGCACGCTGGGAGTTCAGACAAGTAAGGTGGGATTGTGCTTGGAATTCAGTCCTGGCTGTATCGGGGCGTATGAGCATTGTTTCAACATCTTGTTAACTAAGGGTTGAGAATTTCAGAGTATTCCACTTGGCATGAACAAGAAGTTCACAGCAGACAAGTCCTCGACCAGTTGGCCAACGGTGATCTTGTAGCAGTACCTTGGCTCCACTTCGGATGTTGTGCAAGCAGCAACCTCTGCCTTGCGTCTTTTGCCGCCGCAGTACATCACTCCCAGTACAAACATCACACCTTTTGCTGTCCCTGTCCAGATGGCAATGACTAGAAACTTCCACTTGTTACGCCTTATGCCTTATACTATGCCTGCCAGGGTGCTGCGTGGTGGCATTGAAGATGTAGAAGATCTGGCCATTATAGTCGTCCACATTGACGACTATCCCAACATCCTGCTGGGTACCTTGGAATTTTGTGCTGTAGCCCGCTCTCCTTGCTCGGAGGAGGGCCTGCAGCAGAACATGCGACCTTAAGCCTTGTCGTGAGGCCCTCACCTGAGCGAAAGCACTTTGAAGCCGTGCCTGTTTCTGCCAAGCTGCTTGGCGAAACGTAAACATCTGCCTCAGGCAGGGTTGCAACCAGGAATGGGACAAGAAGGTTGCTTTGCGCAGAAGACGCCTCCGGGCTTTGAACTGTAGGGGCTTGAATTCCGTTTAGTCATGCCACCACCCTTTCAATGTAACACCTCCTTTGCCTACAATGTCTGCCTTCACTATTCCACCGTACACGTAGCTAGCCGTTTGTGACAACCCTCCTTCTGAATCCTTGAGCTTGCATGGCTATCCTACACGCCAAACAACAGTGATGATAAAAGAACCACTGTGACTAGAAGAATGCTTGCGGTCGCGCTGCAAGCAATGAAGCCATCATTCATTTTGGTGTTATCAAGATCTACAGGTATTCAAGTTCGGAACTTGCAGACAGCACCTGGAAATACATGCTTTCTTACAACACGTTCGGGGCTCAGTAGTTGAACTTATACAAAAGATTTCTGGCAAGCTCAGAGCAGAACGCTCTTGACTGAATTGATGGGTTTTATCATGCCGATGGTTCATGTCCAGTCATCTCGGTGTACGGTAGCCTCTCAATCCATGTGAGCCATTGTCTAAACTCCTAGTATCCCCCTTAATAGCCCCTATAGTAGTCCCCCATATAATCCCCTATATAACCCCCTTTAAGGAGTTTAGACTATAGTTCATGTCAAGCTGCCATGGTCGCCACTTCAGCACCACGATTTGGAAGACCAGCCAGCCATATCCCCTGCCTCAGGTGGACAGGGAGGCTTGAATTGATGTACTGTAGGTAGGGCCTTTAGAAACTGAAATAGGCTTTTAATGCTGTGGTGTCTGTTTTAGTACCATAACTTCATAACGGGTCAGGGGATGATGTTGCCAGGTCTTCCGGCTCCTGCATTAATTTGCATCATTGAAACACATAGGGTGATGCAAGACTTCCCTCATCCTCCATGTTCCTCGGAGTCATCCTGCCCAGCAAATGAACCATGGTTGCAATTCAAGGTATCCCCAGTTGGACACCTAATCTATACTCTCACCGATGTTCCCAGGCACCCTATACATTCGCATCAAAAACATTGTTTACAACCTTACATCATAAGGGGTGCTTTGGACAATCATGAGTCTGCTCGTGTGTCCATCTAACTCGATTTTTCATGTTTGTGTTCGCGCTTAGAAGGAAGCCTTAATTCGAATGAGCTAGAAACACTCATGCGGGTGGGAAGGCTGGTGATCGTGAAGTACCACTTCCTCAAGGGGAGGGGAGTTGGTGACAAGTGATGGGACTCCGACTTACAGATTTTAGCAGCTAGGGCCGCTATGGCTTCATGAGCCGGGTGGACTTGCATCCTCTAACAGCAGTAATTTAAAGGCAGATCTTTAATACACTAAAATGAACTGAACAAACACTCCTTCGAAACTCTCCTTCTTCACACGTAAAATCGAAGTCACTTTGCCGTTCTCCTGCCTGCCGTTGACACAGGGTCAACGGTTCTGAGCAGGCAGACTGCCACAAAACAACAAGTTGTACAGCAAGTGGCGAAGTGACAACAGCAAAGCATTCATGACTGCCTACAAAAGAAAGCGCTGCAAGCACTTTCCCGTCGTACCCATCTGAAGCTCTTGCCCTTGTAGCGGCTTGACTTCTCTTATCGGCAGCTAGTTGGCTCCTTCGTGCTCCATATCACCCCTGCTTCTGAAAGAGGTAGCAAAACATTCAAGTTACAACCAAGGTACATCCTATGACCCCTCTCAATTCCTATTCTGGATTACACTGGTGTCTCGCAATCATTGAAAAATAGTTGCTACTCTCTGGCCCTCTTCTGTCAAGCTACACCAGCTGAGTCCTTTCAAGGCTCATCCGCCACCAAGGCCTTTCCGCGACGCAAACATCATGTGGTCCGAGGGAACGGGCGGGGGCATGACCCTATACAGCGCTATACTACTCCTCGGTCTAAAAGGTTTTCCGTTTTAGGGCTCCTTTCCGTCTTGCAGAAATTCACCGAACTAAGCTCTCTTGACACATGTGAAGCTCAGTGCCAAAGATATGTAAAGATATATGTCATCCAGGAATGCAATCGAGATATTTTTTGACGGGCTCCTATACAAAAGACTAGAATGCACGTAGGGCCCTGGTTTGGAGAGATTCCATGTGTGAAGCAGAACGGACCGAATGACTGGCAACAGTATGCAGTCTTGTAGTGTCTTGTCGGGTCGACTGCGTAGCCCGACATCCTCCATGATCCTTGGAGAGTCCCAGCTAATTTGGTTTAGTTCCACACCTTGTGCCTGCAAACTCGGAAGAATAGGGAATACCGGGAGGATACTTTCTCAACGCCATGTTTTCGGGGTTCCTGTTCTCGCAAGGTTTGAAGTAGTTAAGTCTCCGGGATGATGTGTTGCGCTGCTCCGTTGGACCGGACCAACGTGCTGCTGCTTGACGGTCCTGAAACATGGGTCAGCGCAAGCAGTGTTCCAGTTTCTAGATTTGCCGAACCATTGCATCCATGTAGTAGCATCCGAGTTCTTTGTGCGATGGATTTCAGAAATTTATTTTTGCCCTCGCTGTGGGCTGCATGCCGTTGCCCATTGGTTGGGCTTCTCTTGCAGGCCTTCAGTGTTGACAAAGCCTGCGCAAGAGCTACTGCCTTGATGTGCCTTCCCATGAGGCGTGATAGGCTGTACGTCTTCGCCAGCAAAACTGCCTGTAAAAGTCTTGAGAACTTGGAAACCAAAGTCATCAAGCAAAGCCCGCTGGAACGGAAAGCTTATTACCTGCTTCCATAGCAGTCTTAAGTCTCAAGCAGCCGATTTCTCTGGCTCACGCTGGTCCTGCGGACACCCTCCCTGTGCACTTTGAAGTGCTAAAACGAGGACAACCTGTCAAAAAGATGTCTGAAAGTGATGAGTACCATGAGTACCATCACTGAAGGCGCAAAGAGCTGTCAGAACCTTTCCTTGGGGCACATCATCCTGAAGGCGTCCAGCACCTTAGACTTAGAGCCTTATAATCAGAGCCCTGAACCTCACAAAACCGGGAGCCATAATAAGCTAACCTCAAACGGCAGAGAGAAGTAAAAGGGATCTGGCCTCGGGTCTGTGACGGATGTGCCTTCACCACCCGTCTCCATGCAGGTCGTCCTTACAGGCCATGCAGAATTTGGCTCAGTGCTTGTTCTGTTGTGAGCGTCCCAGAATACAGGAACTGGAACATGAACTGACAACGCAGCAGAGACAGCACTCTCCAATATGTTGACTGCAAAAAAAAAGAACGTGCGTGACCACCTACAAGGCAATGGTCAACCTGTGCATGCCCGACAGTGACATGAACGCTGCTCCTGAATCGCTTAACTCAGCTGCTGGAGATCTGTTAACAGCATGGCGCTTGCTTTCATTATCTCCGAGTGACTCATCTGTATCTGCCATGTACCTGACAGCGCATGTCACTACTCTGCGGCATATGTCAACCGCTGATGGAATATTGTTGCCAAATGCCTGCAACCATGAATTCGCCCCACCCTGCCATCGCATGACAGCACATAATAATGGCGATCTGTCATGTTAGTATCAGAAGAACTGGAAACATAGCGGTGCCAAGCACAGCGTGCAAGTACCAGTAGTATGCATGTCACTTCTCATGGCCATTCCGTTAGCTACCCAAAAAGAGGAGAGTGTGCTTACGCAGCCATTATGAAGAAGTCAGAGCCGAGCAGCCACATCCTATCCTGCGGAATACAATCGCGTGCTGAGCTCTGCCAGTTTCGGAGATTATCCACCAGAGTTCGGTGCTTGCGGTGGCAGCCGGTCGTTCTCACTCCTTTGGGCGCAAATTGGATTTCCATTTTTAATCTTGCATCTAGGAGTGCTGTTGACCATTACTGCTACAATACATGAAAGCTCGCATGAAGAGGGAAGGCTATGTAAACACCCTGCCATGTGAAGAGCAACCAGGGACACAGGCTTCCAAAAATGTCGATGCTTTGTCTACACTTGGTGTAACAGGCTCTCAAGAATTTCGAATTACTTCTGCCAAAGCGGCAGGTCGGGTGGGAAAGAGCGCGAGTTGAGCTTGGTGTTGTTGATGGGGCTTTGTACTCTGAGGTTTACGGGAAGGACTGTTCTTCATAACATGTGGAGGGGTGTTTCGCAGTCCTCCCTCAAGCATTGCCAGACAAGTGCACACTTCAGTAAAAGCTGCAAGAAGTTCATCTTTGTATGGATCTCTCGACGGGCACGCGCACAAGTGCAAGAGTACCACAGCTCTTCGGAGGCTTTGACTGCCCAGGATTGGGAGGCCTCTAAGAGCGCAATCTACCTTCTTACCTCATTGTCATTGTGAAGAGGATAGCGCAAGGATTCTATAGCCATGGATGGATGGAAGTGAAGGCACCTTTTCAGATCTACCCCCAGCTTGAGGCTGCCAAACGGCTGATGTCGCTGGCGATGGTATCATTATGCTCATAGGAAGGAAGGAGGAAGCTGTACTCGGTGTCCTGCGAATGCAACTGACAGGATTTCTCAGCCGCTCCCAAGCGCTAGGCAACACGTAGGGTCCTACAAGGATGCTTCGGACACTCACGGCTGCTTTGCAGGCAAGGGTAATGACAACATAAGAAAGACTGAAAGCAAGAATCGATCTTCTCAATCCTACAGTTTTTCGTGAAAGCCTACCTTGCATTTCATCCATAAAGCCGGTAACACGACCCTCCAGCCATGAAGCGCCAGCCTCTCCGCAGAGTCTCACAAGAGCCGTGATCTGGATGTCTTGCCAAGGCGTGGAGGCCGTCGCCCGGCGGTAGACCTGACTCCAAAAGGACTCTGAAGAAAGATAGACTGAGCAAAGTTGGACTCTTGCGAGATGTATGCGTTGCTATTTCCAATCAATTCTTCTTTATTTGCGGCAGAAATGAGGGCGGATGAGCAGGTAAGGCGACGAACAACTGCCCGCGAAGGATAGACCCTACGCACAAGGGCACCCAACTTGAGGATTGCATGGCCTCTTGATGTGAAAGGTAGCATGTGGGTTCTAAAAATTTGGCCGGCTGGCTAAGTTTGGGAAACATGTGGAAAGCTAGGCTTCAGAGAGCATGGCCACTTTTTGCTTAGCAACCGGCCTGCACTTCATACTCTCCCGTCAGCGCGAGAACAAACATCGTCGCTAGCACGGGCAATCCGCAGTTGTCTCCTGGCCAGCTATGAGAACAGCACAGCCTCCTGCTGTTGTATCTGACTATTCGTATTGGCAGATTTTGGCTTCACTGCCACCGTGCTCGTGACCGTATCGATATCTGTTTTCATAATGCTCATAAACCAAGCTCAGACGACGCCCATTTAAGCCAATATCGAACACATAACAGGCTTTTGTGGTGATCGCGATATACTGTAACTCACGACCGCAGTTGCACATCGAGAGGCGACAGCCGTATGGGCTGCCCAGAAATCGGATTGTATTAGCAAAGACGAAAGGCTGCAGTTGGTTGCCTAGGAGAAACCCCAAAAACAATCCAACCCTCCATGCCTGTGCATGCATACTGCCCATATAGCAGTACGCAGAGTGGAAGGTTTCAAACATGCTCTCAAATCTTGGCCTACTATAAGTGCCTAAATATTATACAAGGAATCTGGAACCAGAATATTGGCAATTATCTAGGTCCTTATAGCACCAAAATGTGAAGCCTGGCCCTCTTTGAGATCCTGGGTTGCACTGCACTGCGTACGTGCCATAGTCGCTGACCCTGTAGTAATCCCCCTCTGTGAGGTTGAACTGCAAGTACTCATCTCCTGCAAGGTTTGGCTGGGGTTCAGGTGTTCCTCAAGTGCTGGAGGGGGGAGCACTTAAAACGGCGAACAACCTCAGAACATGTCAAGGGAGGGGTTGGGGTGAACCTAATTGCTCAGTCGGTACGCGTGCGGGTCGACAAATGTTATGACAGATCGTGATGGGGATCTAGCAAGATCAGGGAAGGCTTCAGACACGAGCCGCAACAGATGAGCTCATGAACATGGATATGGACAACGTTGACCTCACCCTAGCAAAACCCTCTCTGCTAAAACAATGCTCGGTCTCTATGAAAACGCGCGCGCGCGCAAGACGCGCGCGGCACAGCACAAGCCTACAAGCATGGCATATGTGGCATTTTGGACATGTGGATGCATCTCAAGAGAAGCCAGAAATGCGGCCGCAAGTCTCCTCACAAACTGCAAACACCGCGTTTTGGGCTGGGAAGCGCTCCCGACACAATTTTCAAGAAGTGAATTTAAAAAGACGCACGCGGTGCAGCAGAAGCCCAGAAACATGGTATATGCGGCATTTTGGGCATGTGGGGACATCCTCACAGAAGCAAGAAACATGGCTGAAAACCTTGCAGGAAACTGCCAACATCACGTTTTGGGCCGGGGAGCGCTTTCAACGCTTCTTTGAGCAAGTCAGTGAATGAATGCTCTGGTCACCGTATGCTCTTGGAACTCGCACGGCGATGCAAGAAGCCCGCCAGGGCGCATGGGTTGGGCATTGCTAGCGCGACCAAACCAGTATTAGTAATTATGTGTTGTGTAATAATACGATTCTAAACTCGGATCAGAAGAGGCTCAGAGTAGAGTGTAGGTGGCGGCGGCGGTGGTGGTGGCGGTGGGTGGCGCCGGCGGTGCCGGCGGCGATGGCGGTGGCGGTGGCTGGGCTTAAGGAATGGCTGCAGCAGGCGTAGACAGCTCAACATTAAAAGCTAGGCCTTAGGATTTGGGATTTAGGGTTCAAGGTTCCAGTATGGTCCAGAAGTTAGAGGGATTTGGGTTCAGGATGAGAAAGAAAAGAAATACTTATTCTCAGAATAACATTGATACTAATCCTGATACTAACACTACCACTAATGCTGGAACTGATACTTATACTGGTATTAATACTGATACTAACATTAACACCCATCCTCTCCTCAAACCACCCAATCAAAAGAGGAAACAGGTACCGAACCAGTTGATAAACAAAGAGGGGGGGCTATTGTATTATTGTGAGGTCGACATTACCTCGAATATGGTCATCATTCTATCTTGTTCCTGAGTCTGCCTATTGCTATCCATAAGTCTGCTATTGCTATCCATCACATTTCAAGTAGAAAAGGTCAGAGTTCTAGGTAATGAGGCCACCATTTTCTTGCCCCAACTAATCTGGACATACGTTGTCCTGGATCTCGTTTCGAACGTCTGGGGCCGGCCGCTCATCAACCCCGACTGCACTTAGATTTGAGAAGCTTTCATGAAAACCTAAACAAAGAGAGGTCTTCGGCTTCCTCACCGTTGTGGCTTGGGAATCTTGTACAAGACTCATGGAGGCTGTCATTTTTTCATACCACTGCACTTAATCATAACACCAAGATTTGCTTTGCATAACTTGACATAAGCGTGGAGCTGGCGCCACTGAAGCTCTGTTGATCGAGACTGGGATGTCAGATGAAGCTCCCCGAATGTGCCCGGTGTGACAGGAAGCTTGAGGCAGTCTGTACATGAAGGTTCTTGTACGGCTGTCACGGCAGGGGTCCCCCGAAACCCCTACCGTACAATGGAAGAAACCTGACTGACATCCTGAAATCCTGAACATGCTGCCTTACACAAGTACTTCCACAGAAAGTCCACGTTGCATGAGATTCGTGTATATTGATATGCAGCCACATGTTAAACAGATATTATACATCCGCTTAAGTTGCGTGTCCTGGTCCGATCACGGCGAGGTCCAGGTCGCTTGGGTCCCCTGCAGCTTATGCTTATGGTGGCTTCCATTCTTTTCATGAATCCTTGGCTTTTAGTACGGAATGGAGGAACGGATAAAGTGGAAGGTATTTTCCAATTCTGGAATTTGCAGGGGCTACTACAGTGATCCATGCCGTACTAACAACAAGCATATATGCTTATCAACTGAAGGCAAGGGTATTTTGGTGCAGACAGGGTTCTCGCCCATGCCTACATAGCGAGACAGCATCTACTTCCTGAATTGGGGCTTGAGGATAGGATCTACTAGCATCCCTAAACCCTAAACCCCTGAACCCTGAACCCTAGGCTTTGAAACTTAGGATTTTAATGCTTGGCCGCTCCAATCCTAAAAGGACTTGCGGTAGCTCAGGCTGCGTGCCAGCTTTGCTTACTAGGACCCTGAGCCCCAAGGAAAAACACGCCTTCACAGGGCAGGATGCACATACTGCAGGCTTCCAAAAGCCAAAACCCTCGAAAGTTGTCATCACCAGTTGGTGAGGGCATCTAACGCAATCTTGCAGAAGACTGCAATTTGAGTACGTCCAGTATCTGAATTTCGCAGTGAAGTATGTCCAAATTGAAGTAATCCAAATGCATTGACAAACCTAGTGGCAACTCGTCAGAAGAGCCCTTTAGTCCTCTTACCCAAAACCAAACATGGTACCCTGTGCCCTTGTGGAAGGAGGATTGAGGTTTAAAGGGTGTCAGGTTGAGTTTTCAAAGAATGCTCCTTTTCCAGAGTTCCATGTCAGTCCAGGGATAAGACAAGGCCTTTCATGTACAAATCAGATCAGCCGTCTCATGAAGGAGAGCAAGTTCTGAAATCCAAAAGCAAGCGATCCTAGACCTCTGTAGACTGGAGAGACCCAGAATCACAGGAAACCTGCAAGGACGAAAAGCCCTACCTTCTCCTGAGCTCAATGCCCCAAACTCATCCCTACCGCCAAGTACATCAGCCTTTATGCCGTACACTGAAACCAGTCCAATCCTTGTCCCCTCATGGTCACTTTTGACCCCTCTGATTTTGAGACAGCCGGGTTCAAGGAGGGTTGCGCGCAAATCTCCATCGGATAGCCTTGCCAGCGGATTGACACTGCCAAATCGCCCTCGAACAGGACACCCTGCCGGGGTTCAAAATTGAATCATGTGCGAACCCCAGTATATACCCTATAATCCCTATATAAACCATATATAAGTTATATAGGGTCTATATAGGGATTATAGAGTATAGATTGGAAATGGAAACTACTATAATGGGTAATATAGTATATGACCCATTGTAGTAGTTTCCATTTTCTTTTCCATCACCCCACTGGGTGGTTAGGCATATCCCTGGAGTGGCTCCAAGCTGCTGCGACTTGACGTCTGAGGTTGATACCCTGTTTCATGCTGTTACCCCTAGACCCCTAATTCATATGGGGTTATATAGGGATAATGGGGTTATATAGGTACATGGGGTTATCACCTTGTTTTGCCCACTCGTGCATCTTGACACTCTGTTGAGTACTGTATGGACATTTTAAGTGTGTACAAGATCCTGCCCTTGTCAGTTGCAAAGGTTTTTCCCCCTTCCAAAGAAGTGGCTTCAGACAATGCAGTCTTGAACTCTGGCCAGACCCACAAACAGCATCAGCAATTCCTTTCCCAAGAAACATTGCCGAGTGAAGGCTCCTTGGGAGCTCTTATGAAGGCTCGATTCCAAGCTGCCCTGAGGGCCTTTTTCGGGTAGTCTTACGCGATTTGCCTGGCTTGCCCCCAAGAGCTTGCGTGTTCCATATTATTCCCTCAAAGCCTCAAACTCGCCACCTTACTTGCTTACATACCTAGACACCTAGATCCCTCATGTCCCTGGTACCCCTACCTTCCCATATGTCCAAGCCCTAAACCAAGAACGAACCAACAAATTTTCCTAGCCGTGGGCCTGCGCTCGCACCTGTTGCTCTGCAAAAGGCCTGTGCTGCAAGTCGATGCCCACCTCAGCCGCGATACGCACCCCACCGGGCAACAGCTACATCAGCTACACCCATAGCTGCAACAAACAACAAAGATGGCAGAGCCAATGCTACATAATGCTACCAAAAGGAGGCAATCCGTTCATCGTCTACTGGTTGTACCGAAGTCTTTGTTTTCAATCTTCAGACCGGTGGTCATCCTGCAAGTACAATAACACAACAATCACAGTACCGCCAACCATCGGGAACAGAACATGAGTGACACGGGGACAAAGATTCATTGTAGAATTGGGCTCCCGTGCTGTGCTGCTACTAATGGCTAGTTTTGAGGGTTCTAGGCGTTTCTGATGTGTGTGGCAGAACTCGCTTGGTGCCGGCTGCATTCGTAGTGTAGGAGATCCTGCCTCGATTACATGTCTACAAACATGTTCACAGTAACTGTTGCAGCCGTATTTGACCTTTGGCGACTTTCAGGGTGGCGTCTGCAGGACAATTAGGTGAAAACCACCCCAAGCAGCCTCCGAAACTGCCACCCCCCACGCGTCGTCTGTGCAATCATTGGGAACATTCCTTGACATGTAACCTACATGATATACTATACAGGTTCACAGTATTTCTTTGGACTCCAGTCGTTTGTGTATCGGAGCAGGCCACCCATGCGTCCGCCATTGGTAGCGACCACTGCGCGATCTCGATGAGGTCAACGAGGCCATCCGCGTCTGTGTCCAAACCAATCCTCGGGCTGATTCACGTGCCCTACCCGTTCAAAGATCCGCAAGCATCCGGGCACAGCTGCACAAACGCTGCAGTCGCCAGGGCCTTGTATGAACTCTTCAGAACTTCAGGCACCAACTGATGCTGGTCCCTATATAACCCCTGTATTCTGGGTACATCCACCTCTGCAGTGCCCTGCTCAAACTAGAAGTTATGCAGAGGCTCAGTTCAGCTTGTCAGGTGAGGAGTCACCAAATAGGAGCCCTCACATAAGGCTTACTTGAGGCTTCTATGGGGAGAAAAGAGGCATACAAGGCTACATATTTAGACCATCTTTTACTAAGCGGATATCCCTACACCATGATCTCCACAGTCAACAATCAGATCTTCATGCCTTTGCAGTCTGACCTCAACAGGTACTTTGGAGCATCGGGATGCGTCATGTAACCCAACAGGACCCATCTGCATTCCGCAAATGAAGTTGCCAGCAAATTAAGAACCCCACCCCCCGCTGAAAGCTCTTTAGAGCCTCTTTGGAAATTACTGTCTTTGCCAATTCCAAAGCTGAAGCACATATCTTGTGAGCAGCACGTCTTCCGAATGGCATCGGCTATTCTAAAATAATTTGACACTACCCGTCATGAATCTTGGCCGGAAAACGCCGTGCCGTACGTGGTCCTGGCATGAACCAAACGAAGGTTGGTTTAGGTTGGTCTACCTTCTGAAGCAATTTACAAATCGCATGACGGTTTTTTTCTTCGCAATTTGGGGGTTTCAAGAAAGATGGCTGGAGATAACAAAACTGCAATGCTCCTGCCGGGGGCAAGTCTTGGACATCAGGACGCCGAACAGAAATCTTGCAGGAACACGGACAAGGACTTGCACCCTACCGGCTTTTCCATTTTTTGGAGCACAGCATAAACTGTCCCAGAATGCACAGTTTGCATTTTGACTCAAAAATCTGGCCTGCGCGGAAAACGCACGGGTTCTTTTAAAAACAAAACGATTTTTAATAAAATCTCCTGTAGCCATGATTTAAAGGCGGACAGAATTTTATTAAATACCAACCAATTTGTTAAAAACAATTCTATTTTCAGAAATTGCGCTTTTCAACAACCCAGAATTGTCCCTGGCAAAAGCCAGGTAGGCAACGGAGCTGCAAGTCTTAATGCTTCAAGTGACAAGTTTCATTACAGCAACTACAAGCATCTAGGAGACTAACCATGTNNTTGTGCCGTCCGAGACAGCCACTACTTTGCGAGCCCCATACCTTCTCCGCTGCGTAGTTCCCTTGTGTCTGCTACTGTAGTTGAAAAACACTACATTGCAGGTTAGGGACGATGAATGCCAATCAATGTACATTCTCTCCCTACCCTTCACATAACCGACTGCCATACTCACTACAAGGCAGCAGTCCAAAAACGCAAGCCATCTTAACATCAGATTACGGCCCTGGCATCAAGCGAGCAATTAGGTTTTACCGCCAATCTCCTAAAGCGAAACAAACAAAAACACCACATGTCATTAAAAACCACACCTGGGGGGTGGGGGGCCATAATTGGTTGATGATAAAGAATCTAGCCATACATTGCAAGCAATATCTTTCAGCTAGATGCCAAACTACAAGCCAACCCCTCAACTCCATACGCCCTACTTTCAGCCGCCCTCCTGTTCTTTTCAGTTGGGAGTCTGATCTTGCGGCCGCGTAGGATCGGATCCGAACATTGCATTCTTGAAGGTCTCACCGCCTGCCATTAAACGTTGGCTCGCTACAAACAGTGGTTGACGCAGTCTTGGGGTAGGGGTTTGTAGTTTGCAGGTCTGCATGAGGTTTGGGGCTAGGGTTCAGGGTGCAGACTTGCATATCAGACTTTGGGCTTCAAGATGGGCCTCTCAGAGCCCCTTCTGTTGGTTTGGCTGAGGATACACTGCGAGAGTGTACATCGCCAGCACTGAGGCAAAACCCAGCAACACAAACTGATAATGGGAGAACTGTACTCGAGCACCGATTACGCTGGAAGCACGGCCTCATTTCAAGCTTGACTGAAACACAGCGTTCGGAGTAGAAATACAAGACTGCCGACGGCTCATCTGCCTACTACTGGTATTAGCAGCCCTGCTCCCAGCGAGGTTTCCCAAAGGGGCACGTTTTTGGAATCCCCAAAATAAGGACTATAGCAGTTTGGGGTCCATTTGGGGGCGCCCATTTTGGGAAATTACCGTACATGACCACGTGAAGATGTCAATGCTGACCAACGAGGTAACCTGGGCTCGTGTGCAAACCCCCTGGCCACTCTTCCTATCCTATTTTTAACCTTATCGTTATTTTTTATTG